AGAGATAGCTCGCGAGCGTCTCCTCCGCCTTCGGCATCGTCACATAACCAGCAGATTTTGCACCAAAGATGTTACCATATGCATTAGACTGGTTAGTGTGAATTTTGCTGGAAACCGGTCTAACCCAGGTCTTCGATACCTCAGTATGAAGATCTGGGAAAAACGGCAAGCACCGGCGAGAGGGTTGAGGTCGTGTAGACAGAAGAGAGGGTTGAGGTCTTGTAGATCTATCGTCAAATTTGCTTTTGACTTTAGACTCCTGTCTATCAGCTGGCCACTCGATACTAAGCTATTCAACAGCACAAGATAAAACATCCATCAACCCTTCTTCCTTAAGAGTAAAGTGTGACGTGCTGGTTTCTTCTGATGCAAAACTCTCGACATCCAGCTCCTCAGAACTGGATAATCTCAAGTCCACATCATCATCACCCTGTGCCTCCACCCGGGCAGAAGTAACCGCCACAGCACGTGCTGAGAGGCACTGGATCCCGCCGGAGAAAACTGAGATAGGGCGGGGCCCGTCTCAACCTCGCCGATGAGATCCATCTGCGATCCCCAAGACAAGCGCCGCCGCCCTGCCTCAACATACTGTGAGAGCGGAAAAAAACGAGTTTGGCGCATGTACATTAACTAGTGGACAGGGTGTGCGGACGTCCATGGACCCTCCTGATGGCGAAAATTACGTCACACGGACAGTGCGTGGACGGCCGAAGTACACTTTGACTTAAAGTCCTACCTCATGACCCAACCATTGTTGTGAAGGAACAGATGGAACTGGATTCATTAAAATTCTGTTTTTCCTGCTCCAACTTAAAGGATATCGCCAGAGCAGCGTAACGACAGCAAGCATGAGTCTAAGAGGTTTTCAACCCTTAGTAAAAGTTTAAACTGTTTTTAATGCCGCTTTACCAAGGGGGAGCCAATCCTTGCTAGAGTTTAGGGAAGGAGTGACATGAAAGCAATACAACATTGTTTCCTCACTATTCTTAATACCCAGCCTCAATACCCCAAGGAGGCCGCAGGGGAGCCAGAACCCAGACCCTTCTGCCAATGGCAAAGGCAACATACATAAAGAACCCCCCCCCCCCCCCAAAGGGAAGCACTTTACTTTCTTAAAGCTACAACTAATGGAGAAGGAGATAAATGAAGTCATGCATGTTACCCTTCCTAGATCCATTCTTTCTGCTATAACCTAAGGGGTAAGAATGGGAGCTTCCTAACTAGTCTACAGACTACCTTACAACTGCTTCCCTACAGGGGGGAGCCTAAGGGAAACAACAGTACAAACTTTAATAGGCATTCAACTAAATCATCACATGTCTATCACCACTCTATCACAAAACCCTGAGGGGACCACAGGGGAGCTTATATTTTAGACCCCAACAGGATTGGGGAAGATTAGCTCAATGCTGACATCAGTAAAGACACTCTATCTAGGTCCAACATGCCTACTTATAATAACTGGAGAGGGAAATAAACAAAAAAATATATAATAATAATCCTATGAGTTTATCATTATGGTTCTGTTCATCCAACTCAAATATATGGAGTATTTCAAGAGCAGACTAAAGCCTTATCAATTTGCTACCAGGCTACAACCTATCTATTGCTGCCAATGCAAGGGGAAGCCTACTCCTTACTCTTCTGTGGGGAAGGAGGGTGACTAAGTGCCTCAAACTGTCAGCCCAATACACTTACCACTTCGGCTAACCACCATGAACCAAGACTGCATTCCCATTTTTAATAAGGAAAGAGCGAGAAGCAATCAGGTAGAAGCACGCCAGTTAGATTTTGAGCCAGGCTTAACTCTGCAGGAACTAGAGGAGAGTTAGGACTCTTCAAACCCCATTCAGAGACAAAGTACCTTACTCACTTTCATTTGGCAACTAAATAAAGAACAATCCACAAGTCCATAAAACATTTTTAAAAATCATGTAAAAACACATTTCAGCAAACATAAGCATAATCAGAGCATATTGACACAAATACAAAATTACTTTAAATATAAGACAGAAACAAGATACTAATCCAAATTATGAGAACATAACTGATTATCTAATAACCACGTTTTATAGATGCAAAAAAGAAGTAAAAGATGTAAAATTTCTTAATTCTTTAGGTATTGTATTCCAGTTATGTGCAACTCTATAAGAAAAGGCTGACTGCCCAAAAGCACTTCATCTATATGGTATTAAAAAATGCCCTCTAGTAGTGGCTCTAGTAGATGAGTTATAATTTTGTCTAATAAACTCATTAAGTGAAGGTGGGGCTATACCATGCAAAATGTTAAACACAAGTAAAATATCTGCAAGTTTAATAATATATTTCCAAGTAAAAAATTACATACTAGAACTAAGAGATGAAATAATCATAAATGTACTTCAGAATTAGTTAAAATTCAAAATTCTAAAATTCAAAACAGGAGCATTGCAATTTATAGGTGTAACTAATTCATTTAAAGCAGGTACTTTATGAATCAGAGACTTAATTATTATTAAATGCTTCTGAAATAATTATTAAATGCTTCTGCCACATGTCAAATGCTTGACACTGGTCAAGCTGAGGGCATTCTCCATAGCGTTGAAGTTCCACTTCGAAAGGGAACTTAAAAAAAAACGTAATTGAAAATTAGAAATGTTGGCAACTAACTGAAAAAGAATATATATATATATATATATATATATATATATATATATATATATATATATATATATATATATATATATATATATAAAGATACAGTAAGTGGTGGAGAAAGGAGTGCAATGTTATTTCAGAACTCTTTTTTTTCTGTTAATTTTACAGTGTAGTGTTGTAAATGTAGCACTACTACAGTTCCTGTAACAGCCATGGCCATTTTTATGAAAACTATCCCCTCTTACCTTACATAACCGGACTAAACATTTCCCCAATGGCCCCTGAAGCCCCCAGCCCTGGACCCCAATGTGCACCGCTGTTAAATAAGCCGAGCCCTCCCAAAAGCAGAGAAAAACTGCCTGCTGCCTTTCCTTCCAAATGCGTAATAACTCACAGGCCAAGCTTCTCAGTCGACTGCGGCTTCTGGCAGAAACCCACCCAACATACAGTAGAGCCCAAGTGCTTACAAAGAACACATAGCACTTTCTCGTCTTTTTTTTAAGTTAGTATTTTCCCCTTTCTTTCTTCCCCTTGTTCTCCTTCTGTCAATATCACAAGAGAACAAGCGCTGGAAAACAGAACAGAGTTGCTTGAGCAACAAATGGCCCAAAACGTTCTTTGTGAATGGATGGGGTGAAGGATGGCTGGGGGCTTGTGGAGTTAGTACAGTGCGAAACACTTGGCCAGGTGGAGTGGGGTAAAGGATTGCCATTGCCACCACTGGCCTTTTGTGTGGAGGGCCGAGGTCAACGGGTTGCAGTAATCGCTGCCCGTTGCTTAACAAGAGCGTACTGGGCTGGCAGATCGGCAGTGCCACTGATCCGTGGCTGTGCCTTAAAGTCCTCGGGGAGTGTGGTGGCGGTTTGGTGTCAAATAGACTCAAAAAATTGCATCCTGACTGACTACACCCTGACACTTTCTTCACACGTTCAAACAGCGGTGAACCAGAAAATGTAAGCTCAATTAACAGATATCCAAGGCACACACGCAAGCACGCAAGACACAAGCAGACCCTCATGAACAGGTACGCACAAACAAGACAAGACAGAGCCTTATGGGACTTGTGAATGGACACCAATGATTTGCTAAACATTTTTATGACATCAAAACACAAAAATAATTAAATAGTAAACTGTTCTACTGCATCTGGTCTGGCAAAATATACCTAATTTAATGGCTGAATTCAATGGGAGAATTTAAACTGAATTGGTTAAAATAATTGTCTGCAACTCAATGAATCACACTTTCTGACTAACAGAGCTGAGAGTTCGGTTTAACAAGGATTTTCTGACTGGTCTTACAGTACAAAAGTGTTCAAAAGTTTAAGGTCATTAAGATATATTTAAGAGACATCAATAATTTTATTCAAACATAACACATTAAATTGATCAAAAGTGACTATATACTAGTAAATATATTTATGTTACAATATTTTATGTTAAATTCAATTCAATTCTTTTGCAACTTCTATTTATCAAAAAATCCTGAATGTACAGTATCATGGTTTCACAGATAAATTGCAAATAAGTACAGCCATTAAACAATCTTACCAATTCTAATATATATATATATATATATATATATATATATATATACTGTATATTTTGTAAATGTCACAATTATTTGTAAAGGTAATATTACAAAGAACCAAACAGAAGAATCAAATTTGTTAGGACATTTCCAAAAGCAAGATAAACTCACTGGATGTAAGTACAAAAGGATGCAGCCATATGCTGAAGAAAAAAAAAAGTGTGTCTGTGTTAGCCAGACAGTGATTTCTGGAAGGAAACTTCCTTTCCATCACTCACAGATGACTTTTGAGGTTTCTGTTCAGTCAAATTGTTTTTCTAGCCTATTACAATAACAACAGCAACAACAACAAAAAAAACTTCCAGTCAAAGGGAAGGGAGAGAGTGAGAGTAATGTTTATGAAAAATCTACAGCTTCTTTTTTATTTGAACCACATGGGGAACACATCCAGCAGTTCCAGGCAGAGAAAAAGACATAAAAACAACATCAAGCCAATAACAGAGCCCACTGGCCTGAGTGCCAGCTATTGTGACCATTCACTTACTGTCTCACAGTTTGGTTAGCAAACCCTACGTGAGCCATAAATCTTTACTGCTACTTTCTCTGTATGTGGTCAGAGTCAATGATTATTGTTTAAATTAATATAAACCGCTGTGTGTGTGTGCGAGTGTGGCTGTGTATGTTTGTGTTGTTTGCTTCTCTAAGAAACCTGGTCAAAATACTGTAAGACATTTTATTTATAAAACACAGAGTGAGGACACACGTACACACACAGTGTACCATAACATTAAAAAAAAAAAAAATACACAAAGGAATTAATGAAACTGTATTACCTGTGTTTTGATGATATCATCATCACGGTGTATTTTCAGCATATATCCTCGGTTGCAGGTGATGGTGCAGCGAGCTCCATTGAAGTATCCAGGACTGTTACACTTCATCTCTGCATTACTGACCATCGGCTTCTGACATTCAATGGCATCACACGAGTAATGAATGCAACTGAGGGATTACAGAAATTACCATGTATTATGATGATATAAAGTTAAATGACCTTCAATTATACTGGGTCCTTTTACACAGCATTTATACATTTTAATTTAACCCTCTATGTTGCTTCTATTATGTTGTGGCAACATTTAACATTATTCTGCAAATTTTCATCTGGGAAATCTGGATCAATTGGATTCCCCCCACTCAATTGGATTTTCCTGTCAAAAAGGAATTGTACAAGCTGGTCACATGACAAACAGAAAGCTTGACAGGCAGGTTGTATTAATGAATCAGAGAATACACTGGAACAGGCTTTAAAGGGTACCACACTAATGCCTTTTTCACAAGATGTAAAATAAGTGTTTATGTGAAGTTTTAGCTCAAAATACTAACATATATTTTTTATATAGCATGTTAAAATTGTCCCTTTTTGAGGATGAGAAAAAAAAACCGCACAGTTTGTGTGTCTGTCCCTTTAAATGCAAATGAGCTGCTGCTCCCGGCACAGAAGGCAGAGTTACAAGAGCTTGTGTGTGTTAGCAGCAATGACATGCACTGAAAATTTCAAAAACTTTTAGCCTTTAATATTCAAACTGGAGAAAATGATGGAGAGACTCAAGTAAAATTGACAACATATAGCGACAGGACATTTCTGAATGGTTAGTTAATGAATTTATGTAGCTGATGTTGAGTTAACTATCTTCAAGTCATTGGTTAACATATTCTTTCATGATAATCTATAAATCGCATTCCCGGGGGTGGGGTTTACGTAAATTCTAGGGTAAATTTAATGTTACTAACCCAAGAGGAATGTCATGTTGTCCCCACCAGCCGTTTGTTGTAGTCCTTAAAAAGCAATTTCTTTAAAAGAAAATATCTTCCTTTGCTTTGAACTTTGAGCATTGTAACTTTGCAGATGTTGTTTATGCTCAAACAGCAAAATTACACTCTAACTAGTTAGAAAACTGAAATCATAATCAACCAACCCTTTAATTACTGTATCACATAAATTGGCCCCTATCTTAAACTATTTTGTTTTTAAATTTGACTTAAATATTAAATAGATAAAGCATTTAACTGTGATTACAACTAATAAAACTATATAAATTAAAAAAGAAACAATAATAAAAAAACAAGAAGAAAATTAAAAATATTTAACAAGAAACACATTTTGCAATCTCGCATACAAAACAAATAATTTATACCACTATTAATGTGTTTCAATAAATTTTGCTCAATAACAAATGTGAATCATATTTTTAATGGGGGAAAAAAAAAAAGCTGTCAGGATGTAGCGTGACCAAGAAAAAGCTTTTTATTTTTCAAAGTCATCCCTTCATTATTAGTCATTTTATTGCCATCTTTCATTCATCATGTGCTTGCAAAGTGAATAAAAATTATTTATTAACAAACATTGTACAATAGAGGATTAAAAATACGTATGTGTCATCAACAAATCTTCAGAAACTGTCACTATTACATTAGACATTTAATATTGTAATATCTGATCTTAGACCACATCTAAGCGCTAGTTAGATATGCTGAGGTCTGGGAAAACATTTACCCTCTACACTGACAGGAGAGGGAGCAATGGTAGATTATCTACTCACCTTTGGCCCATGGGGTTATAGATTTCATTGCTCTGGCAGCCGCTGATAGTGATGGGGTCAAAATATTGAAAGGAGCGCAGCCCAACACCTGAGATGGCCACCAAAGGAGAGCCGAAGCTCACTATAATCGCTTTTGTCCGGTAGAAGGCAACGCTTAGGTCGTGACTCACAGGAATCACCATTGGATTGTTCCGGCAGCTCAGCCTCCAGTCCCCTACAACCATCCAGCCAGTTCACAATATACAAAACAAAATTCACCTTCCACTTTTGTTTTCTAGAAACACAGTCACAATATACAAAACAAAATTCACCTTCCACTTTTGTTTTCTAGAAACACACAGCTTGGATTAAAAAGAGTGTTAACATTTTATTGAGATGGGGTGAGACTGACCAAGAGGGTGGGTTTGCTCCTTAGTGTCCACCAGCTGAACAGTAATGTTGTGTTGTCTCTGGTCGATATCAGCTGTTCCATCAGCGGCCAGATGGATAATGACAGCAGCAGCCACCATAGGATGGGCGTAATAGGCCTTTTGAGAGATGAAAATATGCTCACTGACAGTCATTTCTATTGCTTTATTGGTGACTGTGACTTCAAGTAGCATTTGCTCCTGGATCAACATCTTTTATTGTCTAAATAGTTATAAGCCTATTCTTAACTTTAGTCTTAAGGCCAGTTCACACCAAGAATGATAACAATGAAGTTCTAAACATTTTTTAGAAATATAAAAGAATATCAGAATAAGCACCACAACTATAATGATAACATCATAGAGGAACAATATCATTGGAATCACTTTTATAATTATTTTTTCCAGCTGGTGAACAAAATAAAAATTGGTGAACAATCAGAATCAATCCTGCTTCAAAGAGCTCAAGCATTTAAATTGGCAGATGACAAAACGTCTCAGGTAACAACTGTAACTGTAAGGGAACAAGATGTTGTGACGAGATGTTACACTGCTATGACCCAGCCTACCATATCACAAACTTATTGTAGAGATACCCCTGACAACAAGGCTTCGGAAGCTGCCATAATTTAGTTTGAATGAGCTCTGACAGCTATAAGTAAAGGCTATCCACATGCCTCATATACAAAAGAAATAGCCTTGACTATCCACTTATCACCACTTATCTGTTTCTGGGAGCCTCGTCTAGGTAACCAGAAGCACATAAACAATTGATCAGACTTTCGTTACAGGGAAGCTCTGTGGATACAAACATCCAATGCCCTGCCTGGGCATAACAAGTTTTGCTTCTCCTGGTCTGACATCTGAAAGGAAGGAGGGCAAAAGGACTGCAACACTATAGATCACGCCACATCGGTGGGGACCTTACCCTGGTCACACGTGGCACCCTGGTCTAGAGTGTAGAAAAGCTTTCACCATGCCAGGTGCAAACTCCAAACACGAACGGGCAACCAACCGGGCCTGAAGGTCTCCTACACTCTTTAGAGACATACTGTAATAGCCAAATGTTTTCAAGGTTAAACATTTCTCTACAGTGGCTTTAATGGGCTCAAAGGGAGCCATTGACAGGCCTTCCACAACAATGGGCAGATACAAATCAGAGCCCTCCTGTGGCTTGCAGGCCCAAGTCTCAAAAGACCATGAAGGAAATGGAAGACCAATCAAGTTCACTTTAATGTGAACAGTTTCCTTGTGTAGGGAGCTCTAAAGTTAAGTGCAAACCCACAGTTTTAACAATTCTGGCCGGGCTTATAAGATTGTGCTCCTGCCTGAGACAGAAGGTCCCTCCTGAATGGAATCTCACATAGAGAGCCATTGACGAGAGACATCAGGTCTGAAAACCATACTTGGACAGGCCAGAATGGTGCTATTAATTTTAAATGGACTACGTCCCAGCAGACGCTCGCTATATAACTCCCAGGAGCAGAGCGATCAGGAGAGAAAAAGTGCACAGATGCAGCCTTGGCCAAGTTCGTCTACACCATGGCATCCAACCCTAGTGGGGCTGGATGCGTGAGGGAGAAGTGGGTTGCGGATAGTGGGTTGCTTCTTGAGACACAAACAGATCCACGTCCGCCCGGCCAAACTCCCTCCAAAACCCCTTCCATGCCAGGATGTCTGGTCCCTGATTCAGGCACCCAGGGATGTACACTCACCTTAGTGAGAGCAGCTTGCCCTAGGACCACAATAGGATGTGGTGCACCAATTTGCAAAGGGGGCATGACCACAGACATAGGCAATCACTGTTGTGTTGTCTGTCCAGATAAGCATATGATTACCACTGAGGTCTGGAAGAAAATATTTCAAAGCCAGAAAAACAGCCATCATCTTCAGGCAATTTATGTGCCATGAGAGATTGCAATCCTCTAGAATTGCTCCACAATTTGTGAGGGAAGCATCTGTCATAAGAGTCTTGCAATGAAAAATGTACTTGCATGGGACCCTGGGATCAAAAAAAAAAACAAGGCTTCTTCCTCATCACCAAGGTATGAAGGCCCTTGCATGTAACCTTGATCATGCGAAAATGTGTTAACACCCCATGGTGGTCTTGAGCCACAACTGCTGCACAGCAGGACAAAAGGCATCATGTTGGATGGAGCTGGAATCAAACCTAACAGTCTGTGATTGAGTTGGTTAGCTTTATCTTGTTTATGGCTAAAAGGATCAATTCGATACAAGCAGCAGACGAGAAAAGTGGTCCTCTGTAGTGCTGCATTGACGTAAACAATTATGTCAATTACTATGGGACAAAAAACACCAAATAGACAGGCAATTTTGAACACAGATAGCTTGTTGAAGGCACAGAAGCTGACATTGTATGGTTCCGGGTCACACCATGCCATTGGACTGATTACCTTAACTTCAGACACGAGTTCCCTTGAAAGAGGACTGCAGCACATGCTTAGAATAAACAGATAAACAGAATGATATTATTTGCTGGTATGAACACTAATATGGTTATCGTTATTTTTATAGTTCCCTTTCAAGGGAACTATGGGACTATGGGAACGCTCTGCGTGATTGCGTCGTGAAGCGTCTGTACAATCAGTCCAATGAGAGAGTAGAACGTCAGGTAACGTCATTGACCAGGAAACTATAAACCACCCTTGAGATCAGACCGCGACAGCTTCTGTAGCCTTCAGCAAGCGATCTCTGTACTCTGTCCTTGTCTATTTATTGTTGTTTGTCAAAGCCAAGAAAAGAAATATATATCACTACCTATATTTATGGCAAGCAAGATTATAGACGGTGTGTGGTTCTCTGTCCTCGTTACATCACGGGTGGGGACACACATCAGCTATTTGTTGCAATGTGTGGGAGTGGAGCATGCCAGCAGTCAGTTCTCGAGGGAGCTGACTGTGGGCATTGCGAGATGCTGTCTGCGAGGACGTTCCGCTCCCACCGGGCGTTCTCAGAGGAGGACGGTTCGGTTTGCGTTCCCCGCGCGGGTCTCTCTGTTGCCGAGGCACGGAGACGAATCGCATTTCGGGTTCGCAAATGGATCTGACAGCGGGAGTTGGGACGGGCTCAGCTCTATCTCAGCTTTCACATGCCAGATCTAGTGTGACTGTGATTTCCAGTTCCGAGGAAATGGTATCGTTAGTGTTTTGTTTTAAAAAGAAAGAGCACAAAACAAATAAAAATGTTAAGAGAAAGGCAGATGTTTGAGTTTTAAATAAATAAATAAAGAAGTCCGCTCATATCTGCTGAATAAAGAGGAGCTTTTAAAAGGAGGTTTTATTTGTGCTCTTGCCAGTTAAAATTTTACTGGCTAGCTGAACATTATGAGATTGAATATAAATAAATAAATTTATCTTAAAAACTAGAAAACTCTGTATCTCAGCCTCCTCGTCGGGGTTTGTATTTTATGTGTTTACTCCCCAGATGTCTAATTACAGCAATGTTTGGGTATTAAGTAGGCTATTATGGTATTTCAGTGCTTTGGGTTAAAGAGACGCTTGCAAGCTTTCTCTCTCCCGAGTCGGTGTCATCGTTATTAACCCCGACGTTACCCACCAGCCATCATAAATAATGAATACATTTTTATTAGGCAGCCCTGGTGGGTATGGAATGAGTGTGAGGAGGGTCGCAGCGCTGCCAGTTCGGTTGTTCCCGCTGGTGGCCACAGAATTATATGTATATGTTTTTCCGATATAAAAATAATGGGAAAATAAAGATATAAATATGTCTGTTCTTCTGGACGCTCCGCTTTCAAGAAAACTATGAAATAATCCATTCAGCGGTGTTCCAGAGGTTTCTTCCTCACCAATGTTCCTGAGACTGCTGGACGAGAGCAGTCTCGGCCTATTAAGCTCCTTGCAGCACAAGGTGCAAAACAGAACAGTCTGGCCAGTTAGAGATATGCATGATCTGAGGACTGTTTTATCTCTAAAAAAAGCTTGGACAAAGGAGAAGCCCTGACGCCGAGGCAGTCAGGCTTCTAAGGGTGGTCCCCTCTGGGGTAGGGACGGTTTTGAGAAATCGTTTCTCCTCAGTGCCCTTTGGGGTGCGACTCTCTGAGGAGGGTCGCAGCACTGACGGTTCGGTTTCCCGGCCGGTTTGCCGTTTCAGGGCACCAAGGTCTCAGTGTCCCCAAACGAGCCTTAAAAAAGGGCAGTCAGTTCGGTTTCCCTGCCGGTTCGCCGTTTCAGGGAGCCGAGGTGCCTGCTTTATCCAACGGTCCTCCGAGGAGGGTCGTAGGAACTAAGCTTTTACATTAAATTTAATTAAACTAAGAGGTAGGCAAGATCTGAGGACTGTCATCATCTCTAATAAAGCTTAGACAAGAAGTCCTGTCGCAAAAATGAGGCTATCATGCTTCTGGGGGCTCCTAGGGCAGGGACGGTTTTGGGAAATCGTTTCTCCTCGGTAACCTCTGGGGTGCGACTCTCTGAGGACTCTGTCGCAGCGCTGCCAGTTCGGTTGTTTCCTGGCGGTTCGCCGTTCAGGACACCGAGGTGTCGGCGTCCCCATACGATCCTCTGAGGAGGGTCGTAGAGCGGTTAGTTCGGTTGCTCCCTGTCGGTTCGCTGCTTCAGGGCACCGAAATGATTTGTTCAAGCAAATCCAGAGGCCAGCCTTGAGAGACTGGTTCCCCTAGTAGAATTTCTGGCAGCGTGGAAACTACTGTCACACATTTCTCAGTGGGTCCTGCACACTATAGAAAAGGGTTTCAGAATTCAGTTCGGTTCTCGTCCGCCCAGATTTCTAGGGGTCCTCCTCGTAGTGGTGGACCCGAGCAGGCTTTGGTTATGGAGCAGGAAGTATTGACACTTCTGTAAAAGGAGCTGTAGAAGGGATTCCTCCTCCCAGCAGACAGCCATTACTTCATTGTTTCTGAAAGAGGATGAGGTGTTGCGTCCTACTCTGAACCTGTGTCAATTAAACAGCAGGTTTCAGAATCTTAAGTTCAATATGCTTACGCTAAATATGATTGTGTCACAGATTCAGTCCGAGGACTGGTTTCTCTCAATAAACTTCAGGGATGCTTACTTATCTTTCCATCCTCATCACAGGAGGTTCCTGAGGTTTGCTTTCGGAGGCGAAGCATACCAATATCAGGTTCTCCCATTCAGCCAAGGTTTCTCACCCCACACCTTTGTTTTCAATATGCGTGGATGCAGCTCTGGCTCCTCTGGACTCCAGGGCATTTGCGTATTATACTATCAATGATTAATTGATCCTAGCTCAATCTGAGCATGTGGCAGTTCGGCATTGAGATGTCGTTCTGTCTCATTTTAAGATGTTGGGGGTTGTTTGTTTAACGCCAAGAAGAGTGTGCTCTGAGGACCACTTTTCTAGGTGTAGCCTTTTACAGCAGTAAATGGGGTATATATTATGGCAGCTGCGTCCAACGTAATTACCTTTGGCCTTCTGTACATGAGACCCATGCAGTGATGGCTCAGGACCAAGGGGTTTTCTCTGAGGAGAAAAACGTTTTTCGCATGATCATGGTCATGCGGCTTTGCCTTCGTGCTTCGGTCTTGTGGAAGAACCTTGGTTCCTCGCACAGGCCCACTGTTGGGGGCTTCTTGTCGACGCATAATGTTATCGACGGATGCTTCCCTCACAAGTTGGGGGGTATATCTAGGCCAGTTACTCACTGTCAAGAATTTTTTAGACTGGTGTCTCTCATGGCAGCTGTGTCCAACGTAGTTACTTTTGGCCTTTTGTACATGAGACCCATGCAATGATGGCTCAGGACCAAGGGGTTTTCTCCGAGGAGAAAAATGTTTTGCATGATCAAGGTCACTTTGTCTTCGTGCTTCGGTCATGTCGAAGAACCTTGGTCCCTCGCCCAAGCCCAGTTTTTGGGGGCTTCTTGTCGACGCATAATTCTATCGACGGATGCTTCCCTCACAAGTTGGTGATCATGAGTGGTCGCTCGGCAAATGGTACTTGGCAGAACCATCTACCTTTTAGCACATAATTGGCTAAAAGTGATGGCGGTATTCCAGAAAATCTCAATACTTCCTGCCAGACCCTAGAGGTCACTATGTGTTTGTCCTTTCGGATAAAACACTGATGGTCTCATATATCGGAGCAGATATCCTGTTGAGGCATGGGCTGAGGCCCAGGGAATGGAGACTCACCCCCGAGGTGGTGGAGCTTCTTAGGGAGAACGTTGGTCAAACTAAAGTCAGTCGACTTTTCACATAGTTGGTACAACGCATTGCTCTATTTGGTTCTCCCTCACACATCCAGCTCTGCTTGGACTGGATGTGATGTATTAGGTGTGGTTAACACTGCACCGGTGCGCATTTCCCGATATCTTTGCTCCCGGAAGTTCACCCTCATTTGGAGTTTGGATACTGTGGCTTGGCCTCTGAGGGGGCCTGGCTCATAGAATCCTGTCTCTCGACTGAGGTCATTGAGACCATTCTCCAATCCAGAGCTCCTACCACGAGAGAAACTATATGCATTGAAATGGAAATTATTCTCCATCTGGTGTGGTGAACGTCACTAAGATCCTGTTAACTGCCCTGTTGGTACAGTTCTTGATTTCTTGCAATGCCGTTTCTCTGCTGGATTATCTCCTTCTACCTTAAAGGTTTATGTGGAGGCTATATCGGCCTACCACACCCCTCTGGGGGGTACTTCTACCGGGAGAGATCCTCTAATTAATAGTTTCTCTCAGTGGTACATGAGGTTGAGACCTGCACTGCACTCAGAGCACCGGCTTGGTATTTGGCCATTGTACTTGAGGGTCTGGCTTTGGCTCCCTTTTTGCCCATTGATTTGCATGCCCTGTCGGTTGCTCCTTTATGCCTGGAATCTGCACCGGGTATGGTGAAAGCATTTCAATACCCTAGACCGGGTTATACTCCTTAGGTCCCAGTTAATTTTTGGGGGCCTTAGTGCTGCAGGCCTTTTATCCTCCACCTTTTAATACCCCAGATCAGGAACGACTGAACCTGTTATGTCCAGTTCGGGCATTAGATGCCTACGTTCACAGAGCTGTGGCGTAAGCCCTGTGGCGTAAGTCTGAACAATTGTTTGTCTGCTTTGGGTCACTCAATAAAGAGTCCCCTGCATCTAAACAGGTCATGAGCAAATGGATAGTCGAGGCTATATCATTGGCTTATGAAGCGGCTGAACAGCTTTCACCTTTGGCTGTTCGGGCCCATTCTACTAGAAGTATGGCGGTCTCTACGGCCTTTATTCCGAGTGTTTCCCTTCTTGATATTTGTAATACATTTGTCAGATTTTATGACCTTGGCCTCTCCACTCTCCACTCCACTTGCTTGCTTCTTAGTGTGCGCAAGGACTTCACACAGAATGGGCATTTGTCAGCATGGCGTAGTGGGTATGGGGTTCCCATCGCGTTTGACAACGCAGCTCGAAGTTCCCTTGAAAGGGAACGTCTCAGATTACGTATGTAACCCTGGTTCCCTGAGAGGGAACGAGAGCTGCGTTCGTCTGCCATACTTCCTGCTTGCCCTGATCGACTTGCTTCAGGCCTTTCCAGAAGCTGTCGCGGTCTGATCTCAAGGGTGGTTTATAGTTTCCTGGTCAATGACGTCACCTGACGTCCTACTCTCTCATTGGACTGATTGTACAGATGCTTCACGACGCGATCACGCAGAGCGTTTCCATCGCGTTTGACAACGCAGCTCTCGTTCCCTCTCAGGGAACCAGGGTTACATACGTAACCTGAGACGTTTTCCATGATTCCTATTGGAAACCTGTAGATTGATAATAATGTTGTATCAGTGCCACCGCTCCCATTACGCGCATCACGCGCTGTGCGTAGGGCACCAAGTGCTGAGGGGGCACCAAAAATATCCTAATAACAAATCAATCTTCAAACTTCTTGTTATAATCAGATTCAGCGCTTTCTTCATCTTCAATCCGCAGCGGCGACGAGCAGAGAGCACGTCAGAAACAGCTGACAGGGTGTGTGTGTGTGTGTTCAGAGCCTCATTGGTCTGTCACCGCTCATCAATGTCAGAATATTTGAGATGACCAATCAAAGTAGGCGGGCTTTATGTTCACAGACGCTGAGCGCGAATTTTAACAGTGCAACTCGACGCTTCAGTGTACGTTCAAGTGTGAGATAAGATGTAAGTATATATTTGACAGTTTTTTTGGTCATAAATGTTAAATGAATGACAAAAAATAATTAGGCAAACTAATATAGTTTTGTCTAATTTCACCATTTTGAACTGGGAATAGGCCTATGTAACATGTAGCCTAGTGTAATAGTTTAGGCTACTGTCATTGTGAGGGGACAAGCAACATGAACAAAGCCTTTTTCATCATGTTAGGCACAGGATTAATAATGAATGTGTGTACATATTGAGAATAAAATACAAATTGTAGCCTGTTAGTAAATTAAAAAAGCCAACTTTAGGAGGGGAAGACACAGGGCAAAAAACAAAGAGAAAACGAGTGTGATGCTGATTAGGAGAGAAAACTAATCAGCTGCCCACTGACATGGTTTTAAAGCTGTTGTTATCGATTTTTTTTTAATTTTTGTCTTCACAACATCTTAAAATGCACATCTGTACAACCTGTTCAGAGAAATCCAAAATCCTAACCAGGTAATGAAACTAGTTAATAGTAAGCATTAGACCCTAAACTAAAGTGTAACTTTTTCATTTTTTATTAATTTTTTTTTGTAATAAATCAAACCCCCTAAATGAAAATCCTAAATGATTGTTTTTTTTTTTTTGGGAGGGGGGGGGGGGGGTTGGGGCATCATAAAGGAATTATGCTTAGGGCACCAAAATGGCTACCAGGGGCACTGTGTTATACTGTATTAGTTTCATACTCTAACCTTAAAATCTTTGGTTTATATGATTATTGTTTCAGGAATATATATTAATTGGTGAAATATAGGAAGATCAAATCATTATACTGATTTATGCACTTGATGTGATATGGCATAAGTCTGTTCAGCTGAAAGTAAAAACAGAATTACACCAAAATTAGCCATCTCTTACCTTTAGCCAATATTGTGAAGTCCAGCTGTGCTGCTGAGACTGCTCACAAGGAAACCAAGCATACTGAGACACACCATGTGACAGGTCAAACACCTTCGACTGACAGCTCTGAGTGAACAAAGACAATATATTTTTACTGTTTTTATCTTTCTGAATGCAGCATTTAAATAGTTGAATATTCTACATTTGGCAAATAACTGAGGAGAAGTTAGTGTCCAAATTGCATGTTTCAAAGAGGAATCCTGTAAAAATGTATAACAGTTTCCACAAAAATATTATCAGTACAAACTGTTTTCAACATTGATATGATTGGTTGTTGTTGCATCACTGAGCAGTAAGCTGTGGCTCAACATTCAAACAGATACAGGTAGTGTTGCTGTTAGCAGTCTGCAGCACGCTTTCAGAAACCCTTCACCTTTCACCAGATCTGCTACGGGTGTTAATTCATGTGTTACAAGTGCAGTAGCAGCATGTCTGTGAATGTATTGGCAGTAGCAAGCTTCTGTACTTGCTCAGCCAAATAAATTTAAGTTTAAAAAAATTAAAATACAATTCGTATTTTTATATGTAATATTGTAATGTTTATTATAAATGATTTTTCTGTGCACTTCATACATTTGTAAAAATTCATGTACCCTTATAATCTTTAAACAAATACGTTATCCTTCCCTACCCCCTCGAAACAACTTATCTGCTCTTGCTGTCATGTGCTATGGCGCGAGGGCATGGCAACTCCCCTCAAACCGTTAGTCTGAGCTAGAGATGGAGAGGAGGAGCAGTAAAGTAAACCCCAGCCCTCTATTCAATATTCCGTTTCACTTCTAAATACGTCACAACACTGGAGAAAAGTTGTTTGTAACTTCCAGTTCACGGGGACTTTAACCAGAGCCCTTCTAACGGAGAGCCTTGGCACTTCCTATTACCCCGTTGTGTATTATCTTGGTTGCAGTTCCATTAGAATTCCACTGGAGGTGATCGCGGGCGAGTGCAGAATGAATGGGAGTCTATGGGGCTAAACGGCTAAATGTGTCTCTTTCACCTGCTTGTCGTTAAATCAAAATAGATTTTATTGTTGATTCCGCAAGTTCAACAATAGATCATAGGCCACAAGTCGAATGAACGAGTACTTATGTCCTCTTGACTTCTTACAGGTTAGGCTGTTGTTGGCCGGAACACGCTAGCAGTCTGCTATTGTGTGACGTCATCACATTTTTCAACAGATTTTTAGAACAGATAAGTGAACTTAAAAAGGCAATTTTCAGCTGAGTGTATTTTCTTAGCCCTCCCTTTTGAATGCAACTTTCAAATTACTTGACAAAAAATTACATCCTGAGAAAAGTGGATTTCTGGGGGTGACTCCCATTCATTCTGCACTCGACCGCGAGCGCCCCCGCATGGACAGAGACGCCTTACTGCAGCCAGTCCAGAACCCGGAAGTAACCAGCCAGTCCCAATTCTAAAAAAAAAAAAAAAAAAAAAAAAAAAGCCAGTCCCAATTAGCCTTTCGCCGAGCCCCGCCCCCCTTAGTTACTGTTGATACCTCCGTCAAACAAATGGTCAAACACGGGCAGCGCGACAGATTGCCATGACGGCAAAGGGTATTCCCGTGCGTGTCAGTGACCTTTTTTGGAGCAATACCTCCGCGATATCAAGCAAGATCGAAGCAAAAGGGGTTACGGTATGCGGTGGAGGGATTTATTCCAAATATAAAATTAAGAAATGAATGAGACACGACTACTATTGATGTTAATGCTTACCAGTCTCAAGAAAAATCAGAAAAACCCCATGACCATGCTAAGTTACCTCAAATGCAACCAGCACAGCCTTGAAGATTTTATAAACTGGTTCAGTGGCTAATTGTTTGGAGTTCGAAATATATAACTTGCGCTGCATATTGATTCATTTTGCCTCCGATACAGGAGTACACGTTCGCTTTAACAAGCAGGTTGTTCATTACCACAGCAACCGATTGCGTGTCATGCTCATGCTGAATGCGATTTTCGTGTTTAAAAAGTAACTAACGTTATGCATAAGAGACGGAAAGAGGCAGAGAACCATAGGTTATTTAAGGTTATTTCTATTCGTTATGATATTGATATATGAACTGATGTTGTCATGTAAGCTTCATGCTTTCCCCGTTGCGAACGTCCTCTAAACTGTAGTCTACGGTGCTGCACTGCTAACTTAGCTGACTGCTGCTCATTTTCCCAGAGAATATCATGGTATGTTAACAACAACCCTTTAGAAAATGTACAGTAAGTCCTTTGTGGATCCTCTTGATCTGCTTTCTCCGTGCTTCTTTGACTAATCTCAGTCGCACGCACGCTGCACGCGAGACGAGTTAACCATGTTCGACACATTTAACTGGAATTGGGGCGTCCACACTGTTTAATACATCTTAGGCACCGCTCGCGTTGTGTTTTGGGCTTTGGAAAGGGAAAAAACACAACTTCTCCAGACAATCTCTCGGGGTATCATGTGTCCGATTTACAAACGACGTGGGCGCACCGCTTACTGTTTGACGGAACAGCTCACACAGTAACGGTTGCTATGATGTGTGATTGGACAATGGCCATTTTGTGGGAGGTGCCGGCGAAAGGTCAATTCTCTTCAATTAGACATTCTTTGCTTTAACATTGCCATATCCATCACCATGCCAATCTCTTTAGAGGGAATGCATTGACGTCACTTTCCCACAGGAACAACCCCCCTCAGCCTGACTGAGTGGCAAAAGATCTGCTGCGTGAATGGATTTAAATGGGGAAACTGCGAAATTGCGACTAAAACGAACAACTTTATCAATTTAAACTAAATGTTGGACTCAATATAGTGTTCCTTACAACTTACTAAAGATCCAGTGATCCATGGATATTGACATGCAGCCAGGAATCGTGTTGCCTGACATTTATGTTTGCCTGATTTCAACACTATAGACCTAAACATAAAGCAAATTTGCCCGTTATATAAATACAATAGGTAGGTCTAAATCCGGGTGATCATTATCAGTGTTATATAGCCTTTATATATATCGTCATATCGTCCAGCCCTAAAACTTTTTTTTTTGGTCAGTGTTTATTAAAAAAAACATCCAATAATGCAGAATATGCAATGATAAATATTTACTTGATGAGTTGTTAATATACAGTATATATATATATATATATACACTCACCGGCCACTTTATTAGGTACCCCATGCTAGTAACGGGTTGGACCCCCTTTTGCCTTCAGAACTGCCTCAATTCTTCGTGGCATAGATTCAACAAGGTGCTGGAAGCATTCCTCAGGGAGTTTGGTCCATATTGACATGATGGCATCACACAGTTGCCGCAGATTTGTCGGCTGCACATCCATGATGCGAATCTCCCGTTCCACCACATCCCAAAGATGCTCTATTGGATTGAGATGTGGTGACTGTGGAGGCCATTTGAGTACAGCGAACTCATTGTCATGTTCAAGAAACCAGTCTGAGATGATTCCAGCTTTATGACATGGCGCATTATCCTGCTGAAAGTAGCCATCAGAAGTTGGGTACATTGTGGTCATAAAGGGATGGACATGGTCAGCAACAATACTCAGGTAGGCTGTGGCATTGCAACGATGCTCAATTGGTACCAAGGGGCCCAAAGAGTGCCAAGAAAATATTCCCCACACCATGACACCACCACCACCAGCCTGAACCGTTGATACAAGGTAGGATGGATCCATGCTTTCATGTTGTAGACGCGAAATTCTGACCCTACCATCCGAATGTCGCAGCAGAAATCGAGACTCATCAGACCAGGCAACGTTTTTCCAATCTTCTATTGTCCAATTTCGATGAGCTTGTGCAAATTGTAGCCTCAGTTTCCTGTTCTTAGCTGAAAGGAGTGGCACCCGGTGTGGTCTTCTGCTGCTGTAGCCCATCTGCCTCAAAGTTCGACGTACTGGGCGTTCAGAGATGCTCTTCTGCCCACCTTGGTTGTAACGGGTGGTTATTTGAGTCACTGTTGCCCTTCTATCAGCTCGAACCAGTCTGGCCATTCTCCTCTGACCTCTGGCATCAACAAGGCATTTCCGCCCACAGAACTGCCGCTCACTGGATGTTTTTTCTTTTTCGGACCATTCTCTGTAAACCCTAGAGATGGTTGTGCGTGAAAATCCCAGTAGATTAGCAGTTTCTGAAATACTCAGACCAGCCCTTCTGGCACCAACAATCATGCCACGTTCAAAGTCACTCAAATCACCTTTCTTCCCCATACTGATGCTCGGTTTGAACTGCAGGAGATTGTCTTGACCATGTCTACATGCCTAAATGCACTGAGTTGCCGCCATGTGATTGGCTGCTTAGAAATTAAGTGTTAACGAGCAGTTGGACAGGTGTACCTAATAAAGTGGCCGGTGAGTGTATATATATATATGAGCCATTCCACCGAAAGGGTGACATTTCTGTCCCCAGGACATTATATGTATAAAATTGCATGAAAATTATCTCTAAAATACATTTTATTATTAAGCAAAATGTCATGCACATTTAGCTAACTACAAATTTAAAACGTATAGTTAAAAAATAGCATTTTCTGCATGTCCCAACTCTCTATCTCTAAACTTTACCATGAAATATTATGATTAAAATCCTTCAGAAATCTGATTTTTCTTGCATTGTTGTGTGACTTTATATCCAAACTGCTTTAAAATGAAAACAACAACAACAACAATAAAAAAAAAAACATTTGATCTAATAATTTAGATAAAATACACATTTTAGTCATGTCCCCAGGTTTTCACTCAGTCCTGTTACACTATTACATCCCCCCGCTGAATAACGTAGAATATTCCACAAGACATATTTTCAACAGTAAGTTTCATCATCTGGATCTTCTGAAGGCAATGGGGTGACTATAAGTCACTCCTCTCAGTTTCGTTTCTGTATATTTGATGAAATTGTAACTATGAATGAGAAGGTCAGTCTCAACATCCTGTTACCTAAACCTTTTCTTAGATTTAATTGTTTTATTTTAAAAATATTAACTTTTGGTAAGGCACTAGAAATGACTCAGTGTCCTCACGCTATTAGCATCAATACTATGTGGCCATATGCCATATATTTGATAACTTTTTGCTTAAAAA